CCTCCGCACATCCCTGTCGTCGCCCGCTTCACCTCGCTGGTTGGCACGGCTAGCTTCACTAAGCCAAAGGCCTTCAAGAAGTTCCCCGTGGTCCCCAGCTGTGGCCCTCGCCAGGAGGCTCCAGAATGTATTTAGTCCCACGGCCCCATCGCATGTCCCCATCGGTTTCCCGATGAGCGTGGACGAGTGGTTTAGCAACTCAGAGGTATGTCTGGGAGTTATCCACGATATCCCTGACGACGAGAGGGGCCAATACATGGGACGGGCCGCGGGCCAACAGACGTCCAGGGTGCCCCTGCAGACCCTTTGGGGTAGCGGGTTCGAGCCCTGGTCCGCATATTGTCGCGATGTTTGCCACGGAGCCGCCGTCAGCGGGCGTCAGCGAGAGAGCGACCCCCGCCAGGCCTCCTGAAGCTGTCCTGCACCATTTTTCTGTTCGCATGGGCTCTGGCACGGCCGGCGAGAGCGATGCGACCTTCGGCCAGATGGGGGAATCTGATGAGAACCTCCAGCGCGTCGGCGTCAGGGAGCGGGGTCGGAAATGCGGGGCGTGGGCGAAGGAGTCCGTTAAGAATGGGGGGAGGGTCACTCGCGCGCATGCCAAGAAGCGTCGGCAGGCCCGCCCCACCTTAAGGGGTCTGGAGGGATCCCTGTCAACGGCGGCCAGGCCGTTGCACAGCCTCTGGGCGAGCGGCTTCCCACGCGGGCCCCTGCTGGCAGCGAGAGTGCCAGTGGGATATCGGAGGGGTGGCTCTGCCTCCGCTGACCCTCGATGCCGTCCAAGAAGTCTGCAGGTCATATCCTGAAGGTGCGGGGCTCGGTTGGGATTAGTTCCGCCCGAAGTGGGTCCTCCAGCTCCCCCTGGATTGCCAGGTGAGGTTTCCGTCGATCCCCCAGGGCTTCGGGGACAACCCAGGTTGTTCCAGGGACCTTGTCACGAATCTCGTGTTCATCCCTAAGCCTGGAGGAGGGGTTCGGCCCATTGGACTGCTCTGCCAATTTTCGAAAGTGTGGAGTAAGCTTCGTCAACCCATGTGTCGAGAGTGGGGGGTCGCCCACAGCGTGGAGTTTTTGTTGGGGCAGTGGCCCCGCCACTGCGTGCGAGAAGGCTGGTTGGACCCACAACCTGATGTCGGCCTCCTGTCGCGCGATGGGCACCAGCAGTGCCGCCGTCTTGCTAGATTTAAAGAAGTTCAGCGAACATGTGCGGCACTGTGACTTGTCCGATGCAGCCCGTCAGTTCGATTTCAACCTGAAGCTCCTCCGTGGGCCGGTCACGCACGGTTCACTCGGGGGTCAGGACCTTGCTGTGCGACGGGGCGGTTTCGAGTTGTGTCCAGGCGTCTGGGGCGATCATTGCTGGGTGCTCGGCCGCTACGACTCTGGCAAAACTGCTTCTCCTGGGGCCGTGATCGGAGGCTGTCTCTGGCAGGCCGCTGCTGAAGATTAAGAACGTAGTCGACGTCGATGACGTCTCCCTTCAGGCCTTCGGTCCGAGCCCCGCGATCGTGGACCGGCTGCCGACGGCGGTCGAGAGCCTGTTTCAGTCCTTTCGGGAGCTCTAGTTCCCCGTGCGCTTGAAGAAGGGCAAGTTCCCTGCCAGTTCCGCAGAGCTCGCTGTTTCCTTGATGGACCGCTGGGCCCTCCCCCCCACCAGCAAGGTTGCGGCCAGGAACCTGAGGACCGACGCGAACCTCGGAGGCTTCAGGCGGGTGAGTATCACTAGAGCTCGGTGGGCCAAGTCGCGTCGTTCGGCGTGGAGGACACCTCAGCTTCGCGATGCAATGCAGGAGCAGAGACTAAATGGATCCACAGGGGGATCAACAGCGTCGCCACTATGGGGAGCGTGTGTCACGGGGGCCCCGCCGACGAAGCTCCACCACAAGGGCCCAGACGTGCAGAATTCTTGGGAGGCCCCCGAAGGGGGCCTCGGTTGGGCTCCGCATGCACTCGTGTATAGACGGCATCAGGGTGGACCTGTGAGCGATCTCCGCAGGCCTCGCGGTGCACCAGTGGGCCTGGGCGGTCTGAGAGGGGGGCTCCAAGCCCGACATCTTGAGCGAGGCGCTGGAGGCGGCCAAGCAACGGTGCGGGGCTTCCTCGCAGCCATGGATAGGCGCGGCCTCGCCAGTAGATGCGTTCTTCCTCGCGCTCCTGGGGATGGGCTGGGCGCCGCAATCCGCCCAGGTCGTGCTCTCCGACGCGGGGCCCGCGATCAACGCGCGCCGGTTGGGGCCAGCTTGCGCTGGGAAGGAGGCGGAAGCAGAAGTGAGCCGCAAGTCGGACAGGAGAGCGCTGGAATCGATCTGTTCCCCATGGGTGCCCCCTGTTTTTCGGGCCGCGCACGGCCGCTTGTTGTCCAGGAAAACCAGCGCGTGGACTGAAAGACACCGGCGCGCCCTTCGGTCGGTTTTTTCGGGCCCCTGGTGGTCCCAGGGCCTGCCGCGCAGACGCAGCCTTGTCGGCAGCTCTGCCTGTGCTCGGCGTGGCAACCCCGACGGCTCGATCTGGTATGGATGCTGCGAGCTTGATTTGCTGTCTAGCATCTAGCACGCGACGAGACATGGTCTCGGTTAGTCTGATTAGGCGCGCCCGTCGAGCCAAGGACTTTGGGCTCGAGCCTGGGGAGATTCTCGCTCGAGGGATCTCCCCGAATCCTTCGGCCCTGTCTAGCTTTCTGGCCCCCGAGCAAACGATCCACTGGCATCGCCGTCCCGCCTGCGGGCATGTGACGGGCCTGTTGTTCGCGGACGGGTCGGGGCTCCGGGCTAACGCGCCAGAGCTGGCGAGGGCTGGCTGGTCAATTGCGATGCGTGACCCCCACGGCAAGTCCTGGCAGCAGCCTGCGGACCCGCCCCCTTGGACGTCGCCCCCCTCCAGACGGCGAGGGGCGGGGGGAACTTTGCGGCGCGACTCAGGCAGCTTCGCCCCCGTTCGACATTCACTGTGACTGCAAAGGGATTTTTCAGACGATGAACAAGGGTGCTGGGGCTGGAGCTGAGACCGACAATGCCAGGGCCCACATGTGGGGCCTGTTTCGGGCTGCGTTTTCCATTCACGATTTCGCGGCCTACAAGACTTAGGCCGACGGCAGCATGACCGATGCGCAATAGTGATGTGGCCACGTTGTGGGAGAAGCGCGGCAATGACGCTGCATGCGAGTTCGCCAATGGGTGGTGGTCTGCAAGGCGTCAGAGCCGAACGCATGCAGCTGCGGCGCGGTCTCGAGGCCAGCTGCTGCGAGGCCGCGCGGTTGACTGGCCAAGTGCACGCGTGGGTCGGGGGCGGGGAGGCGGAACGGGATCATGATGATGTTGGCGAGTTGTGGGCGGCGCGAGGAGAGACTGAGGAGCCCCCCCTGCCGCCGCCATGCAGCTGTAGCCCATCCTCCCTGCTCCGTTCAGGAGCCCGATGGCTGGGTCGAGTTTGCCGATGCAGGCTATTGGTTCAATGGCCACCCGCTCCTCCTTGCTCGCGTGTCTAAGCGCGACGGGCGCGAAGATGACCGAGCTGTCTGTTTCTGCTGCGGGCGCGGGGCCTACTTCACGGGATTCCAGCCCGCGAAGGCTCTTCTGCGACCGCGTTTCAGGGAGAATGCAGGCATTGGGTTGCTGTCTCAGCTCCGACGGCTGCGCGCGAGACAGTGGCCGTCTTGCAAGGCTGGCGTGAAGGATTTTGTGCTGGAGGCACCTGTCGGGGTCCAGACGGAGGTCCGCGTCCGCCTGGCCGAAGTTTTTACTCCAGGGGTGCTTGCCCGCGACGACCCGTTGGAGGCCTCTGGGGGCCTGCCACCTGGGCCTGGCCCGCCTGGTCCTGTTGGCCCTGGGGGCCTCCCGTCGGCCCCTTGGGGGTCGGGCTCCCGGTCGGGCCTTCCTGGGGCGGCGCCTGGGGATGGGTCGAGGGCGAGCGCGCTGCGGGCTTTTGGCTTCGCCGAGGCCGACCTGTCCTCGGTGGCGGAGCTCGGCGCACGCCTCTGCGCCAAGGACGTGGCGGGAGAGGCGTCGGACGCTTCAGCCTCCGAGGCGTCCGATTTTGAGGCCGAGTAGGCTCAACTTGACCGCCTTCAGGGTTCTGTCCCATCTCATCTCATATCCTTGTCCTCCTCCTCCGCCTCCTCCTCCTCCACCATTCCTCTTCCTTATATACCAGTTATCCCTGTCGCACGCCGTGGTCAGTTTTAGGGGCGGGCCGGGCGTTCCGCATGAGACTTCCTCACCATTAATGACTGAAGCTCCAGCAGTTGACAGCGACTTTACAGATGGAGGGCGGGCCGCTTCCAAAGTGTGGATTGAGGGCGTTTGCAAATTGTGGTTCTCGCTTTAGCGCCGCGCGCATTCGTTGTAAACAATTGAAGAAGTTTCGCGGATTGACGGCGGGTGGTTTTCAAAATGTGGTTCTCGCCTAAGCGCCGCGCGCACTCATTTTAAACACTTGCAAGAGCTTCACGGATTGAGGGCGGTCCATTTTCAAAATGTGGTTCTCCCTTTAGCACTGTGCACATTCGTTGGTTAATGTGCAAGGGTCTCACGGATTCCCATGGTCAGCGTACCAGAAAACATATTTTGGCAGGGTTCCGGCGTATGAGGGTGTAACAGTTACCTTGCTGCGTTGAAGTCCCAGAAATGGTGTTCTGGCACGATTCAAGATCTTCAGGACGCAACAGATAGGTTGATCCGTGGCTTTGGAATCTCGAGAACAATGTTTGGGCATGCTTCAGGGTCTTCGAGCGGTTGTCTTCCAACGAGGCAGTGCCCTCAGTGGAAATGAACCGCTGCAGAGCCCTACGAAGACGGAGCTTGGAAAGAGGGTTCATTCCAACATCATTGATGATTGTTGGGTTTCCACTGGTCCTCCTCCTCCTCCTACTCCTACTCCTACTCCTACTCCTTCTCCTTCTCCTTCTCATTTCCTCCGTCACCTCCCTTCCCTTCCTCCCTCACCTCCCTCTCTTCCTCCCTCCCTCCCTCCCTCCTGCTTCCTTCCGTCCTGCCACCCAAGAGGCCTTCGGGAAGGGGCTCACGCACAGCAGCGACGAGGCGCGGGGCCCTGTGGGGGAGCGGCGACGCGCCCCGCACGCCCCACGCTGCCGCGCCAGAGGGCCGCCAGCCCGCCTTCGTTGGGCGCCGCGCCGCCGCCGCCGCCCAGGCAAGGTTCGGGGGGGGGGGGCAGGCGCGGCCCAGGCCTCCCAGATGGGGTCGGAGCAGATGTCGGCCATGCGCAGAGGAGGGGCAGGGGGAGGGAGAGAAGGCGTCCTAGCGGCACCCCTGCTCCTTAGAAGGCGCGGGCTTTATCCATAGATGTACGGCCGGCACCTTCTAGGAAGCAGCGTTCTTATGAGAAGCCTTCCCCCCTCGCCCTGCCCCCTTGTGCGCGCCGCCATAGACGGGGTCGGATGATCGTGCCGCATCGCCGACGCGCCTCGATGTGAAATCAGATTTTCTCCGCGCTGGCGTCGTCGCTGCATCGGCGACGTCGGCGGTACATGGCCGATGCGTCGGCGATGCATCGGCGATGCGGCGCGATTCTCCGACCCCACCCACTCCGACCCCATCCAGGAGGCCTTGAATTTCTAGTTCGGGGGGGATAGGGTCAGGGTGGACGCACCCATTCGTCGGGGCCAGGCGGTTCGAGGTTTGGGTTTTGCGGTTTGCGGGCGTTTTCGTCGGTCCTGGGCGGTTCTCCAGCCTCGGGGTGCGTTTGAGCAGCTGCGCCCCATCGAGGCCGTTTTGGGGCTGCCCGGATCGTCCCGAACGGCCGCCAGAGGCCAGAGTTGCCCGAGAACCAAGGGGCAATGTCAGGGCGGACAGACTCAGGGGGGGATGCATCAGACTTTGATCGTCCGTTCATCGCCGACCGGGGCCCGATTGCTCACCCCGCCCAGGACCGTGCGGATTTGCTATCGAGGGCCTATCGCCGCTCCATCGGCGATGTATCGCCGATTCCAGCTCAATGCTTTCCTTCCTGGGCTGGTCCCCCCCTGACCTTCTCCCTCGGGGAGGGGGTTTGAGGATGGAGGTTCGAGGTCGGTGGACGTTTTTGAGCACCCTGGGGCGCCCTGGTGGCCACGGCTGGATTCGCCTTCGACATTCTCGTCAGAATGCACTTCAGGGGAAGTCCAGAGGTCGTGTTTTGACCCCCGATCCAGGCCTCCTGGCGTCGTGAACAAGCACGACGGAAGGTGCTCGGACGTTCTCGTAAGCTCCCGGAGGTTTGCTGGCCTCGGGATGCCTTCCAGAAGCTGTGCCTCGCCGGGGGCGTCAACCAGGGGGGCCCTGATCGTCGCGACTGGACGCCAGAGATGCGAGTCACCGGGCTTCTTTCTTGGCGGCTCCAGGGCCCTGGTCTCAAGGCGCCAACGTCGCAGAGCGGATGTCGTTCGGAAAACAAGAGGATGGGCCCGGAGTGTCCTGGAGAATGTCGTTCCGGATTTCGACGTGAATTTCCTGCGATACCTTCTGTTGGCCAGGAAGGAAGACTAGAAGAAGTCCACGCGGAATTCACGTTGTTTTTCGCTCACCCCTTCGGGGTTTTGTATCGACAGAAATCCACGCACAAATTCGCTGCATCACGTCTGCAAGGTCGGCGCAGTGACTGGTCAGGGCCCCCAGAAGCCGAACACCGCGAAGCGCTTCTCGTCGTGGCTTTTTCTGTGCGCGAGTTGGGGCAGGAAGGCCTGGGGAGCCGTCGCCCCGCAGGTGCCGCCGCCGCCCCGCCTTCTGGCGGGGCGTTGCGAAAAGGCCGCCTCGTCCTCGATCGCCCAAGAGGCCTCCACGATGGCCCCCAGAACGGCCCAAGAGGCCCCCAAGACGGCCCCAAGAGGACCCCAAGACGGCCCATGAGGCCTCCAAGACGCCCAAGATGACCTCCAAGACGGCCCTTGAGCACCCCAAGAGGGCCCAAGTCGGCCCAGAGAAGCCCCCAAGACGGCTTCCGACGGCGTCAGACGGGCCAGGAACGCCGCAGGACGGCCAGATAGGCCCCCAAGAAGCCCCCAAAGGGCCGGCTGCTCATTGAGCAGCCTTCTGGGCTCGGGAGGTGCTGGTCTGTCGGGCCGTTCGTGGCTGGGTCTCGCCATGGCCAGGGAGGCCCTTTCGTTCCTTGTGCAGCGCTCCTGATGGTAGCACGACGGCTGCGAAACAGCTGCGAATCCTCTGGCGAAAGGTTGGGGAATGTGCGGCTGACGTATGGGTGAGACGCCAGCATTTTCCGAGCCAGGGTCTGGATCGAGATTCGAAGACACTTCTCTTTGTTTTGCATGCGCATGCCTAGTATCGCCTCGCATCGCGGGCGATACGAGGAGGTGCGCACGTCAACACTCCCAGTATGCGGAGGATGGGGCGGCGCCAAGTCACCAGCGCAGAGATCCTCATGATTCGCGTGACGACGAGCGTGCGACGAACAGCGGAAGTATAGGACTCTGCAGGACAATAAGCATTCTCTCCTCTGCCGAGCGCGAGGGCGGGTAACCAATTATCAGCACTTCGCTGCGACTTGGTTCCCCAAGCACTGCTTGTTTCGCGCCCGTTGCAATCATTGCGCCGCATTTCCCTCAGCGTTTGTTGGGTAGCGACCCCCTGCAGATCATACCATGTGCATGGCGGTTGTCCGTGGCCATGAGTCTTGGCCTAAGCGTTTCGAAGTCAAGCCAGAAAGGCAACTGGACAGCCGCACAGGCTGCCAGCAATACAAATTTATGGGGCTACCGGGTCGAGGGCTGCCTTTGTCAACGGCCGTTACAATTTTGTCGTTGAGGGCTATCCAGCTGCCTGTGGCAAACCCCGCCAGTGCCAGCGGCAAACCCTGAACAGGCTGGGTAAATCCATCCTGTCGCCGCCTTGGAAGCATCACTGTATTGCTGTAGCGTGGCCTGACGGGGCCGCATCATTGCATGGTTGTTGCGTTGACGCTCGAGGTTTCTTGCAGGATTCATAGGAGCTTCTTGGGGGTCTCTTGTTGGGGGCCCTCTTTGAGTAGCTCCTGGAGGATGACGTACACGTAGGAAGAGCTTGGTGCGCGTACTCAGGCCTCATACATTTTTGCACAACGCTGGCTTCCCCGATGCCCCTCCCCCTCCCCCAGGTTACGGGCCTCATCGTGCGCAATGTTTGATGGCCTCTGCGCTCGGTAAGAGCCCCAGGGGCCGAACGTTGGAGGTAGTCTTTCATTTTTTTGCGCGTAAGAGTCGCCACTCGGGCCAAGCCCCCCCCCCCCGGGTAATGGTAGCAATGGTACGTAGGGGGGAGAAGCCTGGACCCCCCACCACCACCACACATGCTCGTGCTCTCGCGCGTAGTGTGGCGATCGCAGCGGTCCCCCGCCCCGACGTACCCCGCCCTGCCCAAGCGTTACCGTTCCCTGGGGCCCACGATAACGATACAAGAAATAATCCAAAGTAGTCTCTTGCGAAATCCCTCGGGTTGTATTTTCTGCATGACGCGAGGAGATGGGGATATGACAACTTGGATGCAACTCCTGGGAGGGGAAGTTCGGCATCGGCGCTGGTATATCCGTGGTCGGAAACCGGTCTAATCGGGCATACCCCCTGTCAATCCCAGTTGATCCAGCTTAATCTGGGGCGTACTATGCGCAATTCGGGCTGATCCAGCTCAATGGCCACGCAATCGGCCTTACTAGCCCTTAGCCGTGGGAGGAGGAGGAGGAGGTGGAGGAGGAGGAGGAGGAAGATAAGGAGGGGCCCCCCAACGAGGGGGAGAAGGCCTCACACGCCTGCACCTGCGGGCGCCCCGCGACGCAACCCATGACGCAATTTGGGGGCCTTCTTCTCCTGCCTCCCTTCTCCATCCCTGCCTCCTGCCCTACCTTTCCCCTCGTCCCGTGCCTCCTTCCCTGTTCTCCCTCGCTTCCTCCCCTGTCCTCCCCTGATTCCCCTCCCTTGCTCCTCCCCCTGCCGCTCTTCCCCGCCCTTCCCGTCGCGCTGGTTCTCTCCCTTCCTATTTCGACGTTGCTCTGGCGTCTGGCCCGCCAGTCTCGGAGACGACCCGGCGGCCCCCCCCCCCTGCCGATGCCTGCCGGCGTTGCCTGCCACTTCGATGCTCGGGTCGATCTTCCCTGGATTCGCCGTTGCATGTCTCTTCAGGGGCTGCCTCGCAGACTCCCTGGATGCACGCTGGCAGACGCCCTGGGTCGCTGCCGCCCGCCGCCTGACCGCGGCCCCGCGCGCGCCCGCTCCGCTTGTCGCGGCCGCAGCCCGACCGTGACCGCCCGCCGCTGGCGCTTCCGCCTGCGGCCGTAAAAAAAAAATGCTCGGGTCGATCTGGTTCGACTTGTCGACTCTGGGCCGTCTGCCGTCCAGGGACTGGGCCGCCCAGGGGCCTGTCAAGAGTCTTGAGGCCGTCCTGGGGGCTTCTTTGGGCCTCTCTGCGCTGCTAGCTTGTTTGGATCTCTAGGGCCACTTGGTCATTCTCCGGTGTCCACTGCGTCTCGAGGCCGTCCTGAGCCCCTCCGGGTGCGCGGCGCAGTCCCCAGGGAGCGTTCTCGGGCCGTCTTCGAGCCGTCTCGTGGCCGAGACGAGCACCGGGGAGCACCGCAGGGTGACAGTCTCTTTTCTGGGGGGCAGCAGGCGGCGAGGGGCCAGGGCAAGCGAGTGCCCCGGATAATGAAGCATACCCCCCCCCCTTCACCTCCGAGTGTTGATTCTCTCCGGCCAAGACGGAGTTGGTCGGGGGAGAGGGGCGGCGAGGCCGAACTTCATTAATTATCGCGGGGGGAAGTTACGAATCGAAGTTGTTATCCTCTTATGTTGAGTTGCAACTTCCTCACGAAAGTCGTCGTCGTCGGCGACCTCCTCTTACCTCGTCATACATCCCACGTGCAGCTTGCCGGGACCTCGAACTTGGTTATCCCCAGGGTATTATGTTCATGGGCATCTGATTATCTCGAGCCTTGAATTAACATTCGTCACCTTGGGTTCAAACTTGACGAAAGTGTTTTTTGTACGTAGTGCTAATTTCGTAGTGTCAATTACGTATTGTCAACTACGTAGTGTCAGCCCATGTAGAGGAACAGGAGCATCGGC